TATTATACATTTCAAAAATCGGCAATTTTATAATTTTCATATTTTCTAGGTTATTACAAACCACATTGATAGATAAAACTAAAATATAATTATTATTTTATTATTGGCTAACGAAAAGGTAAATCGGCAAGGTAGGGAACCACCGATATTTAATTTGAATTATCATAGGATAAGTTACCATAAGTGAATGAGTGAGAGGGTTAGACCCTCAGAGTGAAAGGAAAATACCATTTGGCCGTATAGCCAATCGAAATGATCGATCAATGGCGATCGAGCACAGAAAGCAAAGAGCGAATCGGAAATAGGAAAAACGGCGGAAATGATCGACGAACCAATGAATTAGGCCGTCCAATAGCCAGTGAGTACCGAGAGAGGGAAAACCAATCGCGATCAAGAAGAAGCCGGAAAGGAAAGGCTAAGGAAAGGGAAAGTGAAGAAGAAGAGTAGTTGAGTCCCGGCAACGAACCGACGCGAACGCGAAGACAGGCGCGGTTAAAAATACGTTGTAGGAATATCGTGAAAAACGCGATCGGACGAACGAATTATCGGATTAATACAGACGTTAGGCCGAAACAATAATAATCAATAGATTAGGGCCGTAAAAGTAATAGAAACGCGGAATAGAGAAGGCGCCGAAAAGAGTTGCGTAGCAACAGACGCCATTGTTGGAATAAAGCGCGTAAACCGAGAAAGGGTAGATCTCAAGCCCTGTTTGAGAAGGAAGAACGGGAGATAAATATTGTAAGAGTGAATGCGACCGAGAGACTGATTTGTTGAATTTGTGAAATAAACATTTTAATTTTTTATATAACTCGAGTCATAATACATTCACCCATCCACCGTTAAACGTACAAATAGTAAACGAGATTTAAATAACATAAACGAGCGGTGTGAAACAAAGATATAAACTGATACAACGAAGTCTGATGAGGGTGCAGCCGGTCCTAAAGCTGCCTAAAAACGAAAGAGGGATTCCCAACAAGAGGCAAGGACTACATCCAGGCTACACCATTACGAAGGAAGGAAGGGCATCTAAGGAAAAGCAACAAGGCGCACGGCAGCCCGAGACTTCCTATTAGACCTTGCTCGTTACAAAGGTAAAATGAGCTGGCGACCGAATTCGTAGAAACGGACTTACAAGGTAAAACCAAAACATTTAATAGATGTCCGGCTACAACATAACAAAAAATACATACAAATTTCACTTTTTTACGGATTCTTTTTAGTTCAGAAATTAGTTTTTTGCAAAATAATAAAAATAAATTTTTCGATTTCTAAAACTTGCGGTTTGAGATTAGAAACAGTTTTCCGTTTTCCGTCATTCCATGTAGAGCCCAGCCATACAAAAATTGTAAATTGGAACGCGTTAAGCTATATTACAATTCTATCCATGCAGGAGCTATCAAGAAATACATTTGTCTCGATTATAAAGCCTACAGCGAAAAATTTGCTTCCTTCACTAAGAAATACCTAAGGTCGACTGTCACTTCTGGTACAGGCCAAAAAGAAGGGTGCATTAAATTCGTTTAAGCTCTCGATCATCTTGGTAACAGCTACCAAGATTGCGAAAGCAGCGAAAAAATTATTTTCTGACTACTTCTGATAACAAATTGTGTTTAAAAAAAGGAATATTTGTATTTAATAACGGATTTAGCAAATTTAGAAATTCAAGATATTAATTTTTTTAATGAAGAAGAAGATGAAGAAATGGTACTTCGTGCACCAAAACGGTATCTTCGTGATAAACAAAATCCGTTCGAATTTTTTAATGATCGAGAATTTAAGAGAAGATTTCGATTTTCAAAAGTTTCTGTAATGTTTGGTATTTTACCATTAATAGAGGAAGGATTAGCAAAAATTAACAATCGCGATTTGCCAATCTCTCCGGTTTTACAATTATTGATCTGTTTAAGATTTTACGCAACAGCAAGCTTTCAGGTTAGTATACATATTACTCTTATTTAAAAAAGGAGTAATTTGAAGATACATTTATTGAAACAAGTAAATATATATAAGTAAATATAAATATATGCGTATGTATGTATCTTTTTCGATAAATGTTTCTTTTAATTATTTCCATAAATGTATTTTTAAATTATTATTTTTTAACAAAAGCTTGTTTTTGTCAAATAAACAAAATAAGAATATTAGCGAGCGATATAACTTTAATGAATCTAAATGTTTATTAAAATAAATATGAGTGAAGGGCAAAGTCAATATTGACTCTTTGCCCTTTACTCATATTTATTTTATTCTTATAGAGCCTAAATGTTTATCATTAATAACAACATTAATATGGAGTTATCATTAGCAATAAACTTGTTAATTTGGCCTAATATTTTTATTATTTTGTTTATTGTTTTTTAAATAATATGAATATAATTAGTATATAATTTATTTTTGCAGCTCGTTATGGGTGATGTAATACAAATTTCACAGTCAACAATATCACGAATTATTTTTCGAGTTTCATGTTTAATAGCAAGTAACATGAAAGCATGTATAAAAATGCCAACGTTCTTCTGATCAAGCACGCTCTGAAAACAGACGTTTGTTCAAAGAACTTGGACGTGGTCCTGGAGGGATAGGTCTTCCTTCGATTGATGGAGCAAGACTGTTCACATATTCGCTTAACTCATACAAAGTTTCAACATATTAATGAAGTATATCGAAAAGGATACTTTTCTCTAAATGTTCAGGTATAATGTTATAAATTAAGCAATACAAATAACTATATATTTGAACATTAACATTTAAGTATTTTAAATTATTTTTTAAATGTAAAGACTTATTGAAATTTTCTCTCATTGTAATTTAAAGGAGTGAGTTTCTTTGCAAGTTATCTCCGTGTTTTGAGACATCATTAAATGTCAAGGTTCCATAAACATTGCAGTTCATTTCATTAGAGCGAGAAGCAGTCTAATACTTAGTCTATCAGGCTATCTTTTGCAGAGATGAAGTAAACTGCAATGTTCATAAAAAACACGAAAGTAACCCGCGAAGCAATTTACTTTGAAGCAAATATCCGTGAAAGAATATGCTCATTGTTTATTTATTTTTATAGGTTGTTGTTGGACCGCGCACCGAAATATTAGATATTGTTCCAGAATGGCCTGGGAGTATGCATGACAGCCGAATATTTCAAAACTCACGCATATACATATACGCGATACGCAGAATGGCAATTAAACAACGGAATGCTTGTCGGTGATGCTGAATATCCCTCATTACCATTTTTGCTCACGCCAATTGATAATCCTGTTACTGATACAGAAATAAGGTTTGTCTAATTTTATAACAATAATAACATTGCACTAAAGAGTTGTTCAATGATCAAACATTACGAAGTAAATTATAATTAGGAATTATAGTAGTAACTAAAATCCAGCTCGACCGTTAAAGGCTATTTTTTATTGGTTGTGTTTCTCACATGTACGGTCCTATAAAATTTAATATTACAAAGTAAATAATAAAAATAGAAATAAAAATGTAATACACAAACATAAACGCCTAAGTACATAAATATCATTAATAAACACGATTATCCTATCATTTTGTATGATCTTTTCATTTTCATATAAATAATTATAATTAGTTGTTATCCTCGGTAAGAAATTTTTTATGCAAGAATATACATAAATATAAAAAAAATACGTGAATAATAATATCGAAATGACGATCAAATATTTTTCGCAAAAAAATTAATTTACAGATTTTTAAAGATTAAGATATTTTTAATAAATGCCCATCGAGTATCAAAATTCAATTGTGAGATTATTACAATAGTTTTAGCTGTGTTTTATATAATATAAGTATATGGACGTAATTATGTACGAAAGATGTCCATACATGTTTATATTATTTCCTTTTTTTTTGGAAAATTTATGTTTGGTATAAAAAAAATGATAGTAATAATCAGAAAACATAAAAAATAATGAAAGAATGATTTTTGCATTGTCTTTCTTTATCAAAAAGTTTTTTTGCAGTTACAACATAATCCTTAATAGGACAAGAGGAATTGTAGAGAGAACTTTTGGCATTTTGAAACGTAGATTTCCGTGCTTATCAAAAGGATTGACCACAAAATTATTGACATCCACAACAATTATTGTGGCATGTGCTGTCTTACATAATCTATCATTGATTTTTAACGATAAGTTAGAAGAAGATGACGAAGGAGCAGAAGGTGTGAATGAGAAAGTTCCAGTTCCTCAACCTCATTGGCAACCTGGGGATGGTTTTATCATAAGAAACGCTTTAATTGAACGGCTTTTTAGATGATTAAAGAACGTATGTATATAATAACATTTACGCGTATATGTCATTACACGTACGCACGCACGCACACACACACACACACACACACACACACACACACACACACACACACACATACGCGCACGCGCGCACGCGCGCACACACACACGCACGCACGCACGCACGCACGCACGCACACAGGGTGTATCTTAAAAAGCGCCCAATAAATATATAGCGTTATTCCTTGTAAAGATACTGTTGGTAGTGTGCGTAAGTGCATTATTGCTTTATTAATTATTATAAAAAAAAAAATGTTTCTGAACTTTGCGAGGAAAACGCTATATATAATTAGTGGGCGCTTTTTAAGATACACCTCTGTTGCGTATTAACACACGCTAGTAAACGGAATACGTTGATCAAGGGGGGATAACAACGTTCATCAAAGTCAGAAAAAGAATTTATATTTCCATATACTTATAAGTAATCATTAAATGTGATAATATAACAATAATTGAATATGTGAATGAATCGTGGAAGCAAGAAAAAAAAACCATAGATATTTCCGCTAAAGAAAACATAAACCAATAATGATGACGTGATTGTTCTCTTACTGAACAAAGCACAAATAATATGTATTATGCGTTGTCCAATTAATTGCATTCATGGACGAGAATTTCGCGGATAACAAAGTGGTTGTAAGCACAGAGGCAACTCACCTCTCAGATTATACATTAGTACATTAACCTCTCAATACAGTCAACGTCGTGACACATTCCATGAGAAATCCTGTTACCAGAATCACAGGCACATTGCTTCGGTGAGAGAGATTAACTTGAATTAGTTATTCTGAAAACTAAATGCGATAGTTCGCAACACAAGGCCAGTTCGCTATACCCTAACCTTTATGTCATACCCTGGTGTCATTAAATGACACGTTGGGATCATCACAGAATGTATCACCTTCGCACATATATATATATATATCTCATTAGAGCGAGCACACTACAGAATGCATCGTAGTAATAAAATATCTCATACATAAGCAAAGACATTCCTTACATAGAGTATAGGTATAGGTATAGGTATAGGTATAGGTATAGGGTATAGGTATAGGTATAGGTATAGGTATAGGGTATAGGTATAGGGTATAGGGTATAGGGTATAGGTATAGGTATAGGGGTATAGGTATAGGTATAAGTATAGGGTATAGGTATAGGTATAGGGTATAGGTATAGGTATAGGTATAGGTATAGGTATAGGGTATAGGTATAGGTATAGGGTATAGGTATAGGGTATAGGTATAGGTATAGGTGTAGGGTATAGGTATAGGTATAGGTATAGGTAATACTTATCGCAAGAGAAGAACGTGTTCTGAGTGTGTGTATATACGCTTCCATCCAGCACAATGGCTTCGTTTAACATTGCCGGTATCTGGCAGCAAGGAATGCGTATAGGCTCTGAGATGCTACCATCGGTGGATCTGTCGTCTATCTCTTATGCACCATATCAGAAAAGACTCACAAGGCAGATCCAATCGGGTATCATCCTTCAATCGTGAACTAAAGCAACGCTCTGGCTAAGTAAGCGAATGATGCAACATTCATGAGTACTTACTTTTCCAGTTCAGTCTTTAACCCACTCGCTGGATTCCGCAACGTTCTATCTCTATCCATTCGCTGGGTTCCGCAACGTTCTATCTCCACCCACTCGCTGGGTTCCGCAACTTTCTCGCACAATAAACGCTCTTACTGCGTCGCACGCGTCTGAGGCCTTCGAGACGCAACAATTTAATAATGGCGGCTCAGGGATCATTTCCGGGGAGGACTCCTACAGCGCCATGAACAAGGCGTGCAGCGCCACGAATAGGGCATGCAGCGCCACGAATAGGAAGTGCAGCGCCATGAATGGGGCGTGCAGCGCCACGCAGACGCCATGCGCCAAGGCTGAGCGAGAACACGTACGCATGTCCCCCTCCATGTCCCTACGCGCGAACTTCGAATGAAGGCATAACTCGCAACAACCTCTGCATAGTATATGTAAAAATACTATATACTATGCATACTGTTATACTATATACTATATATTATGAAAAGAATTATACTATAATTTGGTTTTTATATAATTATCTTTTTAGGTTTTATTTTACAATTCTTCGAAGAAAATTTTATAAGTATAATATAAGTTAAATATTTTTTAGTATATAAGTATATAATTAAGTATTATTAAGTATTATTAAGTATTATTATTTAGTATTTAGTATTAATTATATTAATTATTAACAATCACCCTCATATTTCGCTTCAATTTGGATG